GGCGGAATCTACGTTTTTCAGGGCTTTTCGTAAAATATCAATATCTCAGCAACGATACAACTTTTTGATTTGCGCCTTTTACCAAAATTCCTTAAAATGTTTGGTCTACAAAAGTCCCCTACTTTGGAAAAGTTTCGAGAACATCGATTGAAGGCCACTCCGCTGTAATAGGTCGTGGCTTACGTGCAATGGCTCTTAAATAATTTTCAAATTTCAGAAATTCTTTAGTCTTTCAATTCAGCTATTGTAAAACTATTGATAAAAAAATTTTATTTAGAAATATATCTTTTTATTTAGAAATATATCTTCGGCGAGTTTTTCCAATGACACTCATGAACGACTAATTTCTGTACCATTAACACCGTCATCATCATATCGTGAACTGTTTACACCAGTAAATTATTCTGTTACAAAAGACCATCAACAAAAAGCGTATCTCACACCATCAACAACTATCCCATCGCTTCAATCATCTAGACTTTCACTCAATACGGAAGGTGATGGTAGAAGACAACGACGACGCCGTTCATTTTTACATAATGCTCTTGTTCAAAAAGCTGTACATGCGTTTCAATTCGATTCACAGCATAGTAGTGAACGAAAAGCAATGAAAGTACTCGGTATTGTTTTTGTAGTGTTTTTAATTGCTTGGGTACCATTCTCTTTTATAAATATTTTATCCGCAATTTGTACATCATGTCATATAACACCATCGCTATTAAACAAATTAAGTTGGCTTGGATATATTTCTTCAAATCTCAATCCGATTATTTATACTGCATTCAATGTTAGATTTCGTCGAGCATTTGTCTCAATATTAATTTGCCGACTTAAATATTTTCAAAGTAAAATGCGTAGTAACATTTATGTGTTTGTTTCAAGTAATGAAGGAAGTGATCATATATCGAATGGACGACCACGATCACAAAATGAAATTTTTCTACATAATAATCATAATGGCTCTAATATAGGAAAAAAATCGTCGTATGTTGTAATGAAATAAATATCCAAATATTTTTATTCATTTATAAAAGACAGATTTACGCAAGTGTAAAAAACAAGACAATAGTGATTACACTCGATCCAGAGACAATTTACTAATAATTTTTCACTAAAATTTTCCACACTGCTCATATCGTCTTATCGACTACAAAAGAATAATGAGGTAAGCAAACTAGATTACAAGACGATTGTCTTTTGATTATTCAACCATTCTTTCACAGTCAGTGGAATGGTGGAATATCGTTAGTATGTTCTAAACTGTTTTTATCAGTATTAACTTGTCGACTCAAATATCATCTACGTTAATATTGAATTCTATTTCTCAAGAAAATTTACTACCGGAGATAAATTATATGACGGTGTATAATTAATTGTTTGAAGAACGAACGAGTTCATATTTTTATTAAACGTTTTTAACTACAAACGAACATGCGCACAAAAAAACAATAACGATCAGGTGTTAACAATTTTGAGTTGTTTTGGTTCACATGTATTAACTTTATGAGCACATTCCTGTTCAATATTTTTTGCAATTTCCACAGTTAAACGATTTTTAACAGCATTCGAATTATTACCATTTGTTTTCTTTTTCTTGTTCATTTTTGTTTTGGAAATTTTTCCACTATTTTTGTTCGGTTGTTTTTTCTTTGTGCCAGTTGGCATTTGCACCTTTGTTTTCAGTTTACCCTGTGGCATTTTTTAAATCTACAGTAAAAAAAAAAATTGTGCAATTTCTCTTGCTATATATGCAATGGTTATTCTAAGAGAAAGAAAGAAAAGATACTATGAAAGCTATTCACCAGAAATGCAAATAGCCGTATATTTATCACAATATTTTCTTACATAGTTACAGAATAATAAACAACAAAGAATTACAAATAAAAGAGTTGGCTACGTTTATCACTCCAAGAAAATAACCGATTCTTCGTCTCCATACTAGATGAATGGGGATCTCAATATCTATATGACGTCTTCTGTTAACATTACTGGTTGTAAATACTTAGGAAAGACAATTGTGGATATTAGGTTTGACATTACTTGTTACTGCACGACTCAATGAATAAGAACAGATGGTGTAATATAAGAAACGATTTTGTTTTAATATTTAAAAGCAAAAAACGTGCGATCTTTTACCACAGCGAAAAACTATAAATATCATCATCTTAACAACATGACTTACAATAATTACCTCCGATTGTTCTCAGGGATGAGAGGAGCTAAAAATTTTTCTTCGCAGAAAGTGGTTGGTGAAAAAACGTTTTCTAAATTTTGGGCAGAAAATTGTTTGTGGAAAAACGTCAAAAATTTTGTCAGAAGGTCCAAAAATGTTTTTAGGGACGGGCCAGCTCCCCTTCTGCTTGGGAAGCCTGATCATCTGTATATAAACCGTAACATTATAAGTGAAAATAGAAACTGTTGTAGTAACACATATCATATAAAACACATGTTTACATGCCTAAACACACGTGAAAACTACTGTGATTATATTGCACGAAACCCATGCCTCAGTTTTATGTCAAAAACAAAGGATCAAACTATGTGCTTAAAATCAACAAGATTTTAAAAAGACTAAACGAGGCTAATACGGAAAACAGAAAGATTTATGAAAAAAACAAAGATTATCTGCAGGGTTTCCGATTGTTCTCAGGGATGGGAGGAGCTAAAAATTTTTCTTCGCAGAAAGTGGTTGGTGAAAAAACGTTTTCTAAATTTTGGGCAGAAAGTTGTTTGTGGAAAAACGTCAAAGATTTTGCTAGACACTCCAAAAATGTTTTTAGGGAGGGGCCAGCTCCTACTCATACTCAGCTGTTCAAAGTACACAAACAAGACATATCGAATATAACTAGTGTTCTTTCACTGTTTCTCGGAACCAACTTACAGGAAGCCAAATAAAAGGACCTCGTGGGTATTCGTACTGACGACCAACGTAAACGCAAACAGCAACATTTCACACTGTATGTGCATTTGATCTTGGCATTACATAAGCTTTAAATTCATAAAAAAAAGTTTTTCAAGATAAAGAACGGAGTTGTATTTTTTTTAAGTTGTGAGAAAAGTTAAAAACTATCTCAGAACTAGCATTCAGTACAAAATCTGGTCGACTTTGACAGTAATATAGGACAGCTAAGTAAACGCTTTTTCGGTGAAATAAACTTTCGGTTAATCATAATTAAATGAAATATGTTCAGAAAAACCTATTTTTATTTTGACTTCTTCTCGCATACCAGTCAAATCGACCATAAGTCAAATAAATAAGTTAAACTACATGTTCGACTACTACGAAGTTATTAACCACTAAGAATTGCGCAAATGCCCTGCCAAGGTGATGAATTTTTTTGTGTTTATCATTCTCTACTTCTTATTCTTAGATCGCTGTTATTCTCTCTTTTTTGTCTGACAAGAGACTGGTGAGATTACGTTAAAACTGAAATTCTGCTCAAGTTTCCAAAATCGCTACAATCAACGTCAGCGCGTTAAATCTCACTTTAAGTGTTAATATACCTTCCTCATAGTGCAGGATAGCCAACTGAAAAAATTCCAGTGTGGGACAGATTAATTTAAACTGTGGGACGTGTAGAGCATCATATTTTTTAATGACATGAGAACCCATTAGAAAATTCTACTTTGCAGTAGTTTTTGAGTGAAAACAACTAATAACAACATTCTTCTGTTTTATTTCACCGTTTTACTTTGTTTTCTCTCTCTGCGTGTGATAGAACAAAACAAAATGTCATCTTCGTTACAAAAAAGGTTTTACGTATCATTGTTGAATTTTTTTCACAGATTTTACAGATGGAAAGTAAGAAATTTTCCAAATGACTGACAGTCAGAGGAACGGATTTCTACGCGGGACAAATCTTCAAATGAGAGACTCACAGTGAGCATTTTTCAGTAGAGCAGACGGACGTTTACCCTAGTAAATGTACTTGGTGCAAGTACTTAATGAGTACTTAAAAAGTACGTGATTTGGCAACTATTTGATCAAGAACTTGCTGAGTGTCGCTACTTGACTTGCTTCAGCCAAGTACTTGGACAAGACAGTTATCCGTTTCTTTTACATTGACCGCTGGTATATAAACACCACAATACCAATCGTTATACACTTCTAAAATAAACTTATATATTTCTACTGAGTTGAACAAACTTAAGAGCCGTGCATGTATTTGCTCTACAAAAGTAGAGTATGGCTGCTGAATACGTACAAAATACAAAATGAATCTAAATGGAATAAGTATTTGACTGAAGCTTTTGAAGTAAATTTACTTGCATTGTGTCAGCCAAGTACTTGACAAGTGAATTGGAAAATACCGAAAATAAATACCTTTTACAGCATTAAATTGACTTAAGTCAATAAAAATTGATTTTTCCAAGGAGGTCGTTAATGTAGAGGCTATTTTTAACTTATACATTTTTTCCACAAGTTCCCCACTTGTAACAAAATTTTTTACACCATTACATAGCCCATAGATTAACCCTTTACCAGCTAGCGGGTTCAGAGGGGCCACTAATAAAATAACCACACAAATAAAGTATTAGTCTCCCCAATATGCCGTTGGTATGGACAGATCGACCAGACATACTGTTCCTTGTGCAAGGTAGTTTGGTCACTCCAGTGATCATTGGAGGGGAATGACATGAAAAGTTATCTTTTTCAAACATGTCATTTTTGCTATATATGTAATACTTATTGACAATGACGCATAGTTAAGTAAATAACTGACATTATTTATAAATACAAACGCTATTTGTCGTTATTAGACATGGGTGAGACGGACTCAGTCCCGGTCCCAAGGTCAAAAGTCTTTTTTGGAAGGACCGGAACCAGAATCAAGATCGAAAACGGCTGCTGTTCTCATATCCATGTTAGATTCATACCTAGATACGGGCGGGACGATCGGAGTTGGTCCTGATCCTGCTAGAAAACGTTTTGGCCCCGGGACCGCGACCGTCCGACTCATATCCAATAATTGCAAATAACTCTTGTATTTATAAATAATCTCAATTATTCACTTAACTGTGCGCAGTTGTTAATAAGTATTACATATACAGCAAAAATAAAATGTAAGAAAAAAAGTTTTCATGTCGTTCCCCCTCAATGGTCACTGGAGTGAGCATTATATGGCTTACGATCTCTTACGACCTAGCTTTTGTGAAACTTTCGAAAAGCATCGATACCAGTAGTAGACATTATCGCCAATATATATCACACAATACATCCCCAAGATGTATCTTGCCTGTTGGTAGAAAAATAATTATTAAAAAAAAATTCAACTTTCGTGATGTTTTTCAAACTTACCGATTTTGTAACTCATTGTTTTCGGAGGTAAAGCACTGAAACAAAATATTCTTTTAATCAATCGATAACTTATGGCGTTCACTACAAGAAATGTCCCAAAGCTTTTGAATTTCATGCTTCCTTTATGATTTTTTACAATCGTACTACAAATAGTCACTCCAGTGACCAAGGAGAGGAGAGGGTCAAACGGTTAAAATATATTTGTCACTATTTGAACTTTAGAAAAGCACATTATCGATTTTTTGCCAAATGTCCGCCTGGATGTCCACTGTGGGACTGTCACTCTCGTGGTAACCCTGTTTCCTTTCTGTCAAGAGACAAAGCATGAAGATCTCATCTAGTATTCTCATCGATTCTCAATATCCTTTTCAAATTGTTTGATTTTTTGTCGTGGTTCATCCTACAGGTATCGTATTCTTGATGTAATACCGCAGATTATACACACTGTTCTTATTATTTTCTCGAAAGAATTATATGAGCATCAGATTTAGCTTTGATGGAATGAAGTCTTCTCAATATGAATAGAATAAACAGCTTCAATTGAATGTTGTTCGTCATTCTAAATACTCTATTGAAAGATTGAAAAGTCCGTAATTTACTTAAAATCTGTTCAGAACACTTCAAAACTTTAAAATATGCTCTATATTAGTTGCATATTTACAGTATACAGGATCGTGTGGTCCAAAGTACAAAAAGAGTCTGTAGCTTTTGTCCAAGTTTATTTCCAAAAAACACTGTAAAATCCAACACATTTTCTTTAACTATATCGTCGTTCTATACAAAACAGGTAAAATGGAGTATATTTCGTAATTTTAAATTGTTTTAAATCGATTTGGAATGAGTTTACGAATTTTCCAATTTCCAGGTTAGAACGTACCTTTATTTTTTACATTTTTCTTTGACAAAGATAGCTAGAACAAATCTGAATAAAAGATTTAAGTGAAAAAGTATTTTTATTCAGACAAGTCATAGCCTCTGTTTTAATCTCATTTTGTGTAAATAAGAAGACTTTGCATCCAAGGATGCATTTATACAATTTTTGAATACACTTCTAATACCTTCATTGATATCTTAATGCATGATTGTTATTTTTCTGAACACGATATATTTCGTCGATAAAGAGAAGAATTGTTTATCTAGACACATTTGTTTTTCTTGTTGTTGTTGCTGTTGCAGCTGCATTTTTTTCAAATAAGAACAGAACAATTGGAGAGAAGACAAAAAAAAATTGAAATAAACAAGGCAAAAGAAACTAAATACATGTAATTTGTTAATGTTTGTGCAAGTGTGCGTGGATGGTATATACATCTAGGAGTACTAATATATAAAAAAATTTTATATTCTGTTAGGCTAGCAATGAAGAGAGAAAAAATAACTGACAAACACGGGCAAAAATAAACGCAACGGGATGATAAAATGTTCATTTTTAAAGCTCAACACGTACACACAACATCAAAGAAGAAAAATCACTACTGGTGCATCCAGAGAAAAAAAATCGAAAGAGAGACAGTATTTTTCAAGGCATGGACCAACGTTCATTTAGAATTTACATAACACAAAATATGATCAATTCAATTTGTTTGTTTTTCTAACTTGAATAAAGCGAACACTAAAAGTAACACAATTCTAGCTTATTTTAAGGAACACTTTTACTCTAAGTTGCAACATACATGCACAAATTACATGGAAAAAGCGAAAAAAACACAAACACAACAAACTACAACAATTAATAACAGCAATAATAACGTAAATAGATTCATCTTGCTGTTGTTTACAAAAAAGAACGACCACAACGAGACTTTTACTGTTCGCTTGTTTTCGTTTTTCGACTAATAATGGATAATTAGTAGTTTTGTCGAGATAATATGAGATATTGTGGATATGGAGAAGAAAAAATAGACAACGAAAAGTCATTGGTTTCTCTGTATGTTCTTACGATTGTCTTATCAAACAGGTTCGACGTAAGTTGCAGGATAAAGTCCTACTCGATTATTAACACGACCTTTACACCATCCTTATATTGATAAAGAAAGAAAAAAAATTCATTAAAAACAATTAAAAAATGAAGATGTAAAACTTACCTTGATCATCTTCATCCTCTAATTTGGTGAATAAATCGCCTAAAACCAGAAAATTATGATTAACATTTCTTTATTACACATTACGGATAAAATGGTACCTTGTTTGAATGAAAGTTCATCTTGTTCTTGTGCATCATAATCATACAGTGCTCGAACAGTTACACCATCGGGCATATGTGATGACGATTGAGGTGGCAAAGAATCGTCATCATCGTCATCATAAAATGGATTTGTTGTCTGTGGATAGGATGAAGTTTGTTGAAGTGAATGATGTGGATGTGATAAAGACGATTGTAATGATGGATTTCCACTACCATTACTTGTAGAATATGCTGGACTATAAGGACAAAAAGAATAATATAATTAATAAAAATGAAGTCTTAACTACATATATTTTTTAACAATAATTAATCCCATGCAAAAAATATGAAACATAATCGTGCAAATTAATATATAGAATGTATTTGAATATAGTATGCTCTTGTAAATACAGTAGCAAAGTAAACTGATTGTTAAAAATAGTCAATTTCATTTTCATTTACTACAAGGATTGTAACATGCAACAAGGTTTAGCCTAGCTCTTTACGAATAACATACACATACACACTCACAAAAAAATAAATAATCATTATACTCAATTAAAAAATTCGAACAAGTCATCAGTACACGATCTTTTTTTAAGAACAGTTATTAGAAAATGATCTTTGTGAAAACTTCTTATACGATGAACGAAACATTATTATTATCAAACGGATATTTTTTTATCCGTATACTTTACGGAAACTATTTATACTACGCTTATAGTTTTAGTACTATAATCGAGAAGGATAATAGTAACGTGAGTGAGTGAGTGAGTGTGTATGGGTATAAAGAAACCTTATAATAGAGAACACAACATTCAATAAGACGCACATAATTCACAAACAGTGTTCCAACAATTAGACATACTCCGAACTTGACCACGATGCCCAACCAGCGGCTGGTGGTGCTATCGTATCCGCATTCATATAAGATGACATTGGATTTGTTGTCATACTAACAGAGCCATGATTAGTGCCACTACCGCCACTAAGATAGGGCGATGATGGTGTCGATGATGATATACACGAAGAAAAATCCTCCTCATTGAATGCAGCATTACTGAAAACGCATATAGAGGATTTTGAACACACATTGAGAAGTTAGTTTTAATCGAGTAAATTTTTTGTTTTTGATTAGTTTAAAGTCAATTAATAGCACAGATGCAAAAAGAAAAAAGAAAAATAGCCACATTGTACACTCGAATTTGATAAACTTATTTTGTGCAAGAATGTTTAGAAACATGCCTCTCAAAAAGAAAAATACTATGTTTCCAGTTATCAAACTCAGATCATTCATATGTGAGCATTATACAAAGGATGAATTTGAAACAAATGAAAATAGTTTTTAGAATATACAAATAAAAATACTCACTTTATAGAAGAGCGACCATGACTATCATTCAAAAGTGATGTTGTTGATAGTTGTTGGCCACCTGATGTTGTTTGATTTGATCGAATTCCTGTCATTATAACGGGATCTTTTTCAATATCACCACCTTTCCCACGACGAGATAATGTACGATTAGTTTCTGCATATTCCTGAATTAGAAAATATTAACAAAAATAAAAAACAAAATATAATATGTTTTTCAATTTTTTTTTTCTTCTAGAGTGCAGCACACCGAAAGATGATTTTAATTTAAATAGAAAAATAATTCAATGATATGTCTTTTCTATTTTTTTTTTTTTTGTTTTTACTATCCCAAACCCCAAAAAATATTAGTATTCCAAACACAATATCTAACGTTTCATCTGTTGGATAATACTACTAGCACCATGAAGAAGCTAGAGTTAGAATACAACTATGTATTTCTATAAAAGTACCAAATATAGATGAGTAAAACTAAAGAAAATAAACGGTCAAAGTAGTAGCAGCAGCAGCAGCAAAATAAAAAAACAAATCCCAAAATAAATAAAAGAAGCATATAAAAGAGATGTGTAGGTGTGTATAGATGTGAAATAAATAATAAATAGATGATATTGTTCTATTCAATATTTAATGATATGTGCATAAAATCTAACATCTGTTAGCATCTGTTAATAGTATATATTTTTACTTCTTGTTCAATTTTAACTCTATTGATTGTTGATGTTGATGTTGTTGATGTTGTATTTGCTAAATCACGAACTTTTGTTACAGCTGCATAGGCCATTTGTCCTGTTCGACGCATTGAACGTCTTATTGTGGCATATGAATCAATTAATATTCGACCATCATATGATGATAAATGAATGGTTGGATGACGTAAACGTGAACTATGTTGATTAACAAAATTTGATAAACGTGTAGTGGATAAACGTTGTTTTTTATTTATTTCATTAATATTTTGATTATTATTTGTATCCAAACCATTATCATTTCCATTAGAATAAGAGAAGAATGTGGTAGTTGTTGGATCACAATAAGATAAACGTTTACTATTATTATTGATTGTATTTGATTGAAATTGATAATCAAATTGAGGATGATAGTGATGTGTTTTCGAAAATACGGGTACATGATCCTATTAGTTATTATTAATTTTTATTTTGTTAAAAGAGAAAGAACGAATATTGCTTTTTAGAAGCAATATGCAAACCCTCAAAATAAGCACTTATCAAAATACATAGAGCTTTAAGAAAAAGCGAATAAAAAATAAAAAAATAAACATAAAAATATTGTAGTCATTTTGCATTTTTATATTCAGCAAAGCGAAAAGTGCATTTCTGCATGTGAGGGAAAGAAAATCAATAGAATAGGAGACACTGTGTGCGTGTGTACGTATGTGTGTGTGTGTATATATGTATATATATATATATATGTGTGGACGAAAGCAAATTTAAAAAAACAAAGAAGAAGATGATGTTGATGATGATGATGATGATAATGATAGAAAAGATGACTACAGACAAAGAAGAAATTATTTTCGTTTTTCTTACTTCAAAAATTGGCCAATTCATTTTCATTCCAGCGCCATATGTTTCTGACCAATAACTTAGATCACGATCGGCGTCAGTATTTTTAATTGTTTGAGAAAATTGTTGAAATATAATTGGTAATCTAAAAAAAGAAATAAAAATATAATGAAATAAACAATTTGTACATATATTTTTATAATTATATTTTTCTTACTGTGGACGACTACTTAAATCGAGACATTTTTGTGTTTTTCCAATAAAGTCTCGAAAATTAATTAAACGATCTTTTTCAAAACTTTGACATCTTGTAAATACCTAAAATAGGATTATGAAAAATAAAATATTTAAATTTAAATTTATTAATTTTACTTCATTCATATCATCCATATATTTTGGATTACATCGATTTAATTCTTGTATAGCTTCGGTATATTTAACTCTAGCTGCATCTTTTTCTTTTCGACATTTATCAACTTTGTCTGTTGCTTTTTGTTTCTATAATGTATAATAGAATAATAAAATTTTATATGTGAAAATATGATTTTAAAAATAACAAAACAAAATGACTTACTTGATCAGCCGTTACAGAAGCATCTAATTTAGAATTATTTTCTTGTGTTTCGGCCATTTTTAAATTTTTTGTTGCTGTATGATAGTCACGTTTATATTTATCGACTTTTGTATATAATTTTGCCCACGGTTTTTGTGCCTATTAATTAATTTATTAATTAATTGAAAATAAAAATTATTAAAAAATAAAAAATATTTTCTTACTCGTTTAAATTCTTCTTCAAAATCTTTTGTTGGCTTAATATGCATCATTGATTTAACATATTTAGTTTTTTGCCATTGTTTTATTGTTGGAACAACGTCAGATTGTAGTTCATCATGTACATTTAAATGTAAATCAGCTGATGAATCAGCTTCATTCATAACTGCTTTCCATGCTGATCCCATTGTACCAAATTCGGGAGCTAAAAGAATAAATTAAATTATTTTTATAAGAATAATTATACGAACAAATGACTTTTAAAAAATGTTATGAAAAAGAATTTAAAATAAAATAAATTAATTTTCGTAAGAATTACACTTACATTTTTGTACATAATCTGACCATTTTTTTGACCAGTTTTTTAACATTTTTGAAAATTGTTTTTCTAATTCAGCCCGTTCTGTTATCATACTCATTAAATCGGTTGTTAATTTATTTCCATCATCACAACGTTTAACAACCCGATGATATTTTCCAATCTAATAAAAAATATAGAACAATAAATTGTCAAAAATATGAAAAATAATGTCATACATACCTCCCAAAAACTATCACTTGTAGGTAAATATAATTCATTTTCGGATGTTTTGTCAGCATCCATGTTTATTGTTGAAAATTATTACAACAAAATTCTAAAAAGAACGAAAATGGAAAAAATTAATTTTTATTTTCTTTCAAATATAGTACAAATGTTTCGAAATTGTCCGACTGTTCAGATTAAACTGATTTGTTTTAAGTAAATTATTGATTCAAATCGAATGTATTTATTTCAAATTCTTTTAGAATATATTTATTCTAAATGCTAAAGCTAAATATTTTTTGTTTTACTTAGATATTAATGATGTAAAAAAGAAAAAAAGAAATGAGAGAAATATCTTTTTCTGCTAGTTACTCCACGCGTTATCCAAGCAAGTATCAACAATAATTTCTATTCTATCTAAGAAATATTTTATTACGCTCGTAAAAAAGTGCTATGCTTTATTACAATCTGAACAACAAGAATAATAACAACAACAACAACGAGAAAAATATATAAATCTCATTGTATTTTTACTTCACTTTCTTTCTAATCCATTCATATTATTTATTAGATATTTATTATTCACACTCCAAAAATCTATTGTTGATTAAATAAAGGAGAGGTAAAAAAAAAAATGGTAAGAAAGAATGATGATGATTTATGCAAATGATATGTCACCAATTTATGACTCATTAAATTTTCAAACGATAATAGTTGACCAATAGTATCTTAAAATAATCCTTTTATATGTACATGTATTTAGTTTTAAGTTTTTTTAAATCTCTTCTCCCCTTTTCTTTCTTATTCTTTTTGTATAAGCTGACAACACTTTTTTTTCTTATAGCACGTGCAAATATGTTACAAGGATATGTTCAAATACAACATAATTAATTTTTTCAATGCTTTTTACTTCAATCATAAACATTTGAACTAATACTTATTTCCAATCAAGTAAGGTATCAGAAATTTTTTGTAGAGCATAACAGAACAGATTTTCGATCTTCGTTTTTGTCTCTGAGGAAAATAAAAAGTTTTGAAGAAATGAAGAAAAACCTCGTTAAGTTTTCGAAAACTTTTTATTTTCCTCAGAGACAAAAACGAAGATCAAAAATCTGTTTCTGTTATGCTCTAGAAAAAAGTGTTGCCTACATTTCAAGACCAGTCTGAGATTTGAAGCACTTAAAATAGCGGAGAAATCTTGGAATTAGGCAATAATACAGGGCAAAAATCGATGTAGCGGAATGAAAGAAAAGCAGAGTTTTAGGTGCTCTTAGAAAAATGTTTTTGACTTTTGGTGGGGATATCGCACAGAGCTCTCAACGTCTCATTTTGAAGAGAACACTTTTCTCTATATGAATAGGTGTTTAAAAAGATTTTGGCTGATCAGCACACATGTGATGAGTTTTGGAAAGTAAACAATGATGAATTAGAATCTCGAATGACTAATCTTAAAAAATTCATAACTTTTGAAAGAAGAGCTATACAATCAAATCCTTTGGAGGTTAAGACTAGGACATCATATAGTATCTATTGGCAGAAGGTCATCGAAGTCGGAGGGTATCAGCTAGGGACCTTCCTTCGTGAATCGAATGAACAAAACAATACAATCCTACATTTGTTTTCATGCGTTATAATATCTTCTACGATCACAGGATTATAAAATTTTTATTCTTAAATGAGTTACAGCTATATCAACTGAAGTTGATTGAGATGATAATGTATTTTCAACTGTTTTCTTTAACCACATTCCAGGTCATGCACTTTTTCTTGCCTATACCTCGATTAAGTTACCTCGAATTGTAAACTCCTTACTCGAATTTCTTTCGCGATAGTATTTGTATCCCTTAGCATTGTGTAAGTTTTCAATTTTGCATTATCTTTGTTGTACGAATTCTATAAAAGAGGGAAAAAATAACAGCAACTACTAAATTACATTTTTCTCCTCCCATTTCAATGAGGTAAAGACTATTTATACTCTATTCAACAGCTACGCTGAAGAACCATTTGTAGATAAGAGTATTTGTAAAAGACGCTATCACCCACCAGCACCCCCAAACTGCCTGCGACTGTCCTAGATCGATAGAGCGCGCCAAATAATCCTATACCAACATCCACCAACACCCACTTGAACCTAAATCTGAGGTACCCAGAATGGAATACTGCCACCAACGTCCAGATAGACGAGTATTGGCACCCGCTATTCCTCTCCACAGTATTTAGGACGCTGAGTTACTTATAGAAACGTACGTATATCACATATTAAGAAACTCCACTCTCCATCACGTACTTCATCCGTGGAGTATCTCTTAAAGGGATAAGTTAACATTTTTTTATTGATATCGATCTCACAATACATCTAGGTATACAAATTAAAAGCTCCTGATTATGTATGTTACATCTGCGAATTATGAAAATGATTTAATCAGCAAAAAAAGAGACGTTTGGTAGAGACTTGATCAATTGAGAATGGTAGTTCACAAATGTTGTCATTGAAGGCGATGTAAAAGTGTGTGCTGCTTGCTAAAATATTCTGAAAGTATAACAATTTCTTCTGAGAGACTGAAGAAATATGGATCGGATAACGTTTATTGTAGTGATGGAATCCGTATTTAGTATGTTTTATCACGGTACAGGCATCACATCCTCTTCTAGTTTACTGTTGAAGAAAAATAACATTTTAAAAAATAAATATTTTAGTACGCAGCACACACTTTTACATCGCCCTTCAATACCAACATTTGTGAACTACCATTCTTAATTGATCAAGTCTCTACCAAACGTCTCAAGTGGGTGTTGGTAGATGTTGGTGTAGGGTTATTTGGCGCGCTCTATCGATCCAGGATGGTCGCAAACAGTTTGGGGTTCATCTCCCTTTGCATGCCAATATGCTTACAAACGGTGTTTTGAAACATTTTAAATCTTGAAGGTTAATCACACCAACTCTCTATCGAAGGATAATGAAATTTTTTCCTCACCAAGCACATTTTTATAGCTTGTGATCACATTTTTAGTGAAACTATCTCTCTCTGAAACCTATTGTCTGGGATGAGCAGTACAACTCGACATTTACATTCACGTTTTATTTCATATTCAATACCCATGCTCATCGAAAAAGTTTTAAAATCTGTGTACATATGGGCATGGGTATGATCACACATTCCTAACGAGGGACATATGGACATGTATACCTGACTCTTACAGGCAGACTTGGATTGCCTTTCTCATCGCCACTTCACCGTCCAAAAGTGATTACAAAAGTATGGATTTTCGAAAAAACAGTGTGTTTCCTAACCGTTTAGCGGAACGAGCTATGTATACGTATCTGGATTTCCTATCCTTTAAAAATGTACATAAAAAACAATACGGCATTTTTAAGAAAATTTCCTCTCTTTTAGAACATTTTGTGTTAAAGTACTTTCCCATTTATCCATCTTAGAATTCTGTGTGAATATGTATTTCAAATATGTACAGATAAAATAATAAAAATGGAGAAAACATGTACAAATTTTAAAAAAAGTTGTGCATGTTCAATGTCTTTGTTGCCTGTAAATTTCTCTTGCTCTTATTACTACTACGATTTTTCTGATTTAATTGCGAATGTGCATAGTAAATTTTTTTATGACCTTTGTAAAAGCTGTACTGTGTTAAAGAAGTGATCTCCTTTGTGCAATGTATTTTTCCTTCATTTTTTTTTCTTTTTTGCCACTTAAAATCAATGTACTTTTATTTGTTAACCTTCGGGAACAATAAACTGAATATATATATATATATATGGACATATATACCTCCATTTTCATTCATTCATACGCCGATCGATAGAGGATATCGAGATTGTAAAAAGCTAAATAGGATTCGGGCCGATGGCTTTTCCTTCAAAAGTTATAGGCATTTTTCTGTTTTTCCTAGCGAAAAATAGACAAAATAGAAAAATTCATATCTCCGTCCAGAAAGGTAGTTAGGAGCTCAAACTTCTTTAACACAGTACAGCTTTTACAAAGGTCATAAAAAAATTTACTATGCACATTCGCAATTNCCGAGTTATTGAATTTTAAGTTTTTCATAGATTAACCTTTCTATAGGCTCACAATATAATGGCTTCCAAAATCGTTAGTTTTCTACTACAACTGTTGAAACTTTCGTAAATGACATGATTTTGATCAGCACACACAGATAACTAATCGGAATTATATAACTTCAATGTTTTGTAATTTCGATTTTCAAGGAGGTCTGTAGAGACTCCAGCATCTACAGCCAGCTTGAGAAATCTTTTTTGTTTCCATAAACGAAATTGGACTACAGAACCATGGCATTTACGAAAGTTTCAATAGTTGTAGTAGAAAACTAACGATTTTGGAAGCCATTATATTGTGAGCCTATAGAAGGGTTAATCTATGAAAAACTTAAAATTCAATAACTCGGGAATGGAATGAGTTGTAACGGTAAAACTTTGTATGAATATCATAGATATATAGAAGAGTCATAGAAAGAAGTTCGAGCTCTTAACTGCCTTTCTGGACGAAGGTATGAATTTTTTTCTATTTTGTCTATTTTTCGCTAGGAAAAACAGAAAAATGCCTATAACTTTTGAAGGAAAAACCATCGGCCCGAATCCTATTTAGCTTTTTACAATCTCGATATCCTCTATCGATCGGCGTATGAATGAATGAAAACAGAAGTATACATGTCCATAAGTTCGCTCATAAGGCTAGAAAAATTCATTAGTAACGAATTTTAAATGAATGTCATAACAGTTGGTAAAATGATGGTAAGGAATCGTATGATTCAGATAAGATAATATTGTTTCTTTTTCTAATATACAAGATTTGTGAAAAATTTTAACGTGAATTTACAAAACCAAAGACTGATCCCTGACCTTCTTTCTAAAAAAACAAACAGTGTTCCTTATCATTTCTCTATAGTCTGCATTTAGGCGGACATTTAGTGAAAAATTGAAAATGAGGCATTTTTTGAAGAAGTTCAATAAGGAGTATCAACTTCCATAATATGAACTATCTCTTGTCATGAAAATTTTCGCTTTACCACTCAGTTATAACGAGGAAATATCTTATCTGAAAAATTGC